TATATATATATATATATATATATGAATTTTGAATGCAAATATTTTACCTGAGTAAAAAATTATTTATAATTACTTTGCATGTTTTTTAAAAAATAGTCTTGGAACTAATTAAATTTAAATTGTTGGGGTATGATTTTGATTGCGAAATGTCAAGTTAAATTTTGATATTTAGATATTTTCTTAATATAACCCAAAAGAAACTTGTTAGATGCAGCATAAAATATAACTTGTTATATAAATTAATGGCATATGATTCGCAATTAAATTTCATTATGCAATTAAAATTTGATCCTGCGTTTGAGAACCATTCAAAATGGTTGATAAAGAAATAGTTACAATATTTGTTTGGTTGCTTTTATATCATAAACTAATCTAATTGATTTGGCTTTTAACGTGTATGCAGGTTGTAGCTAAGCTGGTAGAAGTAGGCAGAAGTTTTCATACATTATTTAATGGATGATACTAGAGTTATGGTTTGCCAATGATTGAATGATTCATGTGGCATGTTGCCCTTGTGGACCTTGACCTCTAGTCACAATTGAGAAATTTTCAAGACCAGTTGGCTTTATGATAATCCTACATAATTGACTGAGCTCTTGTGTATGATGTTTAGGATTGTTGAAAGCATCTAAGCATCTCATTTAAGTAGTGGTGTTTAATATGGAAAGTTTTCCATAATTAGGTTTTCACATTTGATTCGCAATTAAATTTCATTATGCAATAAAAATTTGATCCCGGGTTTGAGAACCATTCAAAATGATTTATACAGAAATAGTTACAATATTTGTTTGGTTGCTTTTATATCATAAACTAATCTAATTGATTTGGCTTTTGACTTGTATGCAGGTTGTAGCTAAGCTGGTAGAAGTAGGCAGAAGTTTTCTTAATTTTTTCATACATTATTTAATGGATGATACTAGAGTTATGGTTTGCCAATGATTGAATGATTCATGTGGCATGTTGCCCTCATGGACCTTGACCTCTAGTCACAATTGAGAAATTATCAAGACCAGTTGGCTTTATAATAATCCTTCATAATTGACTGAGCTCTTGGTGTATGATGTTTAAGATTGTTGAAAGCATCTCATTTAAGGAGTAGTGATGTTTAATATGGAAAGTTTTCCATAATTAGGTTTTCAAGGAGCATAAGTATTGGTGTAAGCATAAAATATTACTTAGCTTTGAAGTCTTCTTCACTATGAAAGTTTTGGTTAACTTTCACAAATTATTAGGAGACATTTAAATTGTCTCCTTGTGGATTTGAAAGCCTCCAATAATTTAATGTTCATGGTTAAGCCTGAAGATGCTCCTTAAGGGTATAGAGATATTGGAATCTAGAAAAATAAGTGTTATGAGCTTTATTTTTGGTTTATTGATCTTTATTAAGTACTTGGTTGATTTTCCGAACTTTACGATTCTCTGAAAACATCAATTTTATACAAATTTTAAGTGATAAATCCTACCATTTGGAGCTTAATGATTTTGAACATGTGTTGCTATAATAAGCATGGAAAAGAAATGTTTTATTTTTCTTAAAAGAGATTAAAACTTTAGGTTGTTAGTATGCGTAACATATAAAATCATTGACCTAGGATTTATTGTCGGACATAGAAGCAAAATTGAGCTCTCTTTTAAATAAAGTCATAAAGCTTCTTCTTATTTTAGAAAATAAGTTGTTTTTCAAATTTGATGGAGAAATAATTTATTTAAATTGCCACAACTAATTTCCTAATATGGTGTGCTTGGCATCTTCTAAAAAGTTTGTCTATGTGCAAGAGCATGCATACTTTTGTTTTTCTTTTTTTTTTTCTTTTTTTTTTGTTATGTTCTATTTAATTCAAAGCTATCTAAAGGGGAACACCTACGGAAGGCACTCTAATAAAAGAGGAAGAAATGAGGTTGTTTCAAAGAACTGATTGTTGTAAAGCCTTCTCTATATTTTCAAGGAACAATGATTTTGTTTGGTGCATCTTTATTAGGCAATTCTAAGTAATTGCATATAATTAGGGATGGATATTCGATAAAATCAAATCATATGAGACTTATTATATGTTATTATTCTCTTATTTATGCACACTCTTTATTTTCATTGTTTTCTACTTACTATTCGGTTTACATCATATTCTTTGTGCGGAATGAACAGTTCTTTTACAACATAACATCCTGATGTAAAGCCATTTCCTAGCAATGTGTACTAGTTTAATTCCCAAAGATTTTAGAATGCCTTCCGCTTTGCCCTTATGGTTGAAAAGTAGAAGAGGGAGATATTCTTATCAAGATATAGAAATAATAATACTTATAATCATATGTGAATGCTTATTTTTTAGCCTACTTTCTTCACCAGGATTCCTACGAAGAAAAGTTTAAAGGACGCTGATAGATTATACTTAAGTACGTTAAGAACATCTATGCAGGTCTTAAACTCTATATTTAAATGAGTTCTCCTTTCTCATGATGATGATATTGAGAAATTTCTAATGAGAATATTAAGCTAGAAATGTCAACCAAATTTGAGTATCATGGTATATTAAATTATATGGATTGAAGAAGAAATTTTTTTTTTTCAAATATTACGTATTACAAAGTATAGAATTTTTATTTATAATGAGAGTTTCACGACTGTTGCTATCAGCCATCCACTAATAAAATTTTTTTTTCAAATATTACGTAATTACAAAGTATAGAATTTTTATTTATAATGTGAGTTTCACGACTGTTGCTATCAGCCATCCACTAATAAAGGGTAACCATAAGACTAAACTATGTCACACTTTCATATTACATGTATATGTCTAATCCTATTAAAATGATTAGTTGCAACTATAAAATATTTTTATGAAGTCTTTCCTATAAACATACTATTCATATTCTTTTTGTCTTTTCACAGTGACCTTTATATATATATCCTCTCAGATAGGCTTTTTCATTTAATCAACAACATCACCCCGTGATGAAGGTGAGATGAAAACAAGAAAGATCAAGTGAGGTAAATATAAATAAAACAAACATAAAAAACGTGTGTCGAAGATTTCCAAAAGATGATCTTTGAAGTTTAATAAGGAAATGGAGAGATGAAAGAATGAGACTAACCAACCCATTCAAAAAACCTACAAAGATCCTTCATATATAACTAGATTAAAAATTTATTTTTATTCTACATACATGAATACTCCAAAACTTTGATTAATTACATCTAGATGGTTTCCTAAGAAAATACTCTCAATAAATGGAAGTCATGGGATAAAAGTTATCATTTCAAAAAAAGTTATCTTGTGTCTTAATGACAATCTGAGCTAAAGGTTAGAGGGTAAATCATCTTATCCTAAAGAGTGGTGGCCTATCAATAGATGAGGGCGTAGAAAATAATATTAGATGACATATATAATAAATAAAGGACTGAAAATGGGATTTCAGTTTAGGAAAAAAAATTTATGTCGAAAAACATAATTGAATTAAGATTTCATGAATCTATCATTCCAGATTATCATACCTTAAATCTATTTAGCATTGAAGGTAATTGATCTAACACAACTGAGAATTCCTTATCAATAATTTATAAATTGTATAGTCCAAAGAGACTACATAGATATTATGTTGAGCAAAGAAATTAACATAGAATCCCACAACTCTACTTAGTAGAAGTATGTATGGTATGACTTAATTTTCTCAAAGATAATAAGAGGCCTATAGGAGGAGAGAGAAAAAATAATTGATTATGATAATCAAAATGATCTAATATACACTTATAATCTTGTGTTGATTAAGAAAAACAAGGTATCCTTCTAAATAAAATTAAATCTTCAGACTAATCAGGTGGATGAAGCATATATAGTTTCCAAGGGACATGCAATGTTGTAATTGTGTCTAGTCCATAATGTGGAAGCTCTATCGTGTGCATGAGATTGAGTTATGTTAAGAATATGTGTCGTCCCTGATTTAGTTTTGAATAAAAAAATTCATATTTGTGATGAGCATCAGAGGTAGAACTATGACAAAAAAAATCCTAGTTATATGGTGAATTCATTATTCTGTTTTATTTATAAAGTTGATCTTAGGCCATACAGTAAATAAATTTTTGTTCATGAAAATATTGAATATTTTTCTATCAATTTAGAATTTTATTTGAAAATTATTTAAGATTTTATTAAAAAATGAAAGTTTTTATCCTAACAATTTATGCATGTTCAGGAGGCCAAACAAACATCATGCATAAGTTAAACATACCAAACAAAATACATTAATATATAAACCAAAAAAATATAAGAGAATATATATAAACATCTGATGCAGTTGGGTTTGACAATTCACCAAAGAAAAAAAGAAAAAAAGGCCAGGCTTTCTGTGTGTGTGTGTGTGTGTATGCCACCTACCATGACTTTTTGGTTAACAGTGTTTGTCAGACTCTTGGGGTCACGGTTTTGATCCCGCCTATATGTGATATAGAATTCTTAAGCATGTGAGGTTGGTTAGAAGACTGGTTTAATAGCCTTAGCCATATTTTTGAATATATACACCCATATATATATATATAAATTCATTGATTAAAAAAGAGATGATACAAAGGTTTTAGTGAGTGGGTACAAAGATCTCGCTCACAGGGATTACAAACGTATTCCCCAAAAAATAAAACAAAAAGAAACAACTCCTAATCATGGTGGGTGTAGTCTGTGGATCTATCGCTTCCCCTTCCCTTGGACTAGAGAGAGAGTCTAACAGCAAATTGAGATGTGGGCTTTCGCCTGAAACAATGATACACTCATCCTGAGAGTTACTGAGATCTGACATTTCTTTCTTCTTCTTCCTGAATTTGTAAGCCTATTAATCATCTGTCAGAGGAAG